AACAAATACATCAGTAAAAAGTAAGGAAAAAAACAATGAGAGATACAAAAGAAGTTACAACATTTATGTTTCCCTTGCTATCTTCTCTTTGACTTGTTCTGAACACAATTTAGAGAATATGGAGGTGAAAGCAAGAATGCAGCGAAAGGGACGCGGTGGCGAGTGTGTTATTCAGTTTCGGGCGGGAAAGATGATCTACAGGGAAGGCAAAGTGGAACCAGATCGACGTAGAGGGACCTTGTCTTTTTTTAAGATGCCAAACAACGATGTGAAAATGACTTGGATTTCAGGAAATGACGAAGAGCAGCACATACTTCCGCGCGGCGAAGTCAAGTTCAGCCAGGTAGAGAAGTGCACTACGGGAAGAGTATTTTTATTCGACTTTGGTACCAAACGGCCTCCGATTTTCTTTTGGCTCCAGGAAAAATCAAATGAAAATGATTCCGTATATATTTCTACAATACACGAACTAATTGGTGAAGATAAGCGACTGAATGATCGAACACGGGCTGAGCTTGACGTTGTCCTGCAGGATATTCTTCGAACTATGCAAAATGGAAGGGAACAAGATGTGGATCTTGTCGATGTCATTGGGTCGAAGAAGCTTCTTGACGCATTACATGAAGATCCGGCCTTTTTCATGTATAAGCTGCATCAGTTTCTTCCCGAGGGGACCGATCCAACGGTGGATGTAGTGGAACAGGTGAGAAATCCGCAAGTTTCTGCCGCAGCAGCTAATTTAGGCTCGCTTCTTCGTAATCCTCTTGGTTTCCGCGAAATTTGCACGGCTTTTGGGGTTAGTGCATCCAACCCTGGTGTATTTGGGTTTCTTTCTGGAGTTATTAAACTCTTTAAAAAGTAATCCGAAAAAAAAAAGAACACACACACCGTTTTTCTTTTTCCTCTTATTGGGAATTGCTGTTTATGGCCATTCATTTATTTTCCTTTTCCGCCTCATGCATAAAAAGAAATATTTTGGTTTGGAAGTTGAACTCTCTGGGAATGTGACTGTTCTCCTCCTGATTTATTTTTATTTTTCTTTTTATTTTTCTTCTTCTTTAACATCCATGTCGAAGAGTTCGAAAACAGCATATACATATATATCTGTTTATTATCGGGAGTTTGTTGCTTTTTTTGTTTTATTGTAGGAAATGTATCCGACGTCTCCCTTTTTTATGGGTGTTCAGTCGGATGCTCATCGATACGCTCAGGCAACTTTTCACGAGGGAGCGCATCGACAAGCTCCTGGTGATTCGACTCCATGGAGGGATGTTTCCTCTCCGCTGAATCGGTTGAAAGGATGGTGGCTAGCACCTGCAGCCAAAGGGAGCATGATTGCGGCTTGGTGCCTGACAGTGGTTCTTGGTTCATATTGCTTTTTTATTCAGCAAGATGCCAAAGGAACTTATTTGCTAAATAATGTTTTATTGCGTACTTTACACGAAGAGACATTGCGGGCCGATGCCAATCAGGAGCGTGCATCACAATTGAAGGAATCGATGAAAAAGCACCTTTTGCAAGAAGAAAGACAAAGCAAAGAAAATAGGCAATTTGTGAAAGGCTTTGAAGAATATAGTGAGACAATGAAGAAGGGTTTAATTAACTATGAATTAGAGCTTTCTCGCGAGAGCGCGAGAGCTGACGCCGTGCACGCTCGCAATCAAGAATTGGTTACTGAATTACTCAATGTTCGTCAGGAATTGTCTCGGGCGAAGAAAGAGAATAAAGACTTATTGGCGGAACTTGCAAAGCTGCAAAAGCTACAGAGAAGTGTTGTTTAGTATTACTTTTTTCTCTGGTAAAACCAAGTTGAATACTGAGTTCAAAGGTTTTTTCTTTGTATGTATGCCCAGTTTTGTCCTGCAACTCCATATGTGTTGTTGTTCTTCTTCTTTATTATTATTATTATCGTTGTTTCTTTGTGTATCCCCTTTTTAAATTTGCTTTACATGACATGTTTTTTTTCTTTTTTTTTCCTGGGCTATTTTTGAGGCCGTGTTGTTTTTCTTCTGGAACAGCTAAAAATAGGCAATGCATCTGAGTAAATGGTCGCGAGGTGGCCAGACAATATCTGCGAAAACAAGGAAAAAAAAGAGTTCCTCAATGGCATTTAGAGAGTTCCGCCATGCGAAGGAGGTACAAGAGCCCAAAATTTTTGCCAACTCACCCTCTGAAGCCTGCAATTCCAATTACGCAAGAAGGCCAAGCGGAAGGCCTTTTTTTTCCGAAAAATATGATGGGTGTTGGGATGACAACGTATGAAGAAGATTATGTAAAGCATTCATTTTCTCCTCAGGCGAAAACGACACCGGTGCCGCAGTCAAACATATCGGCAAAGCCCCGAGAGGGTTGGAAAACAACAACCTATAGAGAAATGAGCCGTACATTGATACAGGCTATTAGGCGCCATGAGGTTGGGCGGACTCCCCCTTCGAAGCCCTGTGAGAGAAGGCCAGACACTTCTACGGTTGCATATTCTTCAGAATACAGGGACGTGTTTACAAAGAAACCTCTCGTGTTGGAGCCATGTGTAAAGCCTGTTGCGATTGTCAATAACATTCCATTCCGAGGGACAAGTACAATGAAGAGTGACTACAAATTTATAAAACTATTTCCACATG